CCAGCAGCGCCGAGGATGATGGCGCCAAACTCTGGGCTCGTCGCAGGTGTCGGGCTCGAAGCAGGCGTTCCCGACGAGATCGGAGTAGGAGAATCGGTAGGCGGTGATTCGCCACCAACGCCAGTTGCGAGGAGCGCCGTGCTGTTGCCGCGCACCTCCTGCGTGGGCCTCGTGAGAGTGCTACTGCAGCCACCGCTGCTGCCCGCTGCAGCGCCGAACGTGTGGGGCATGCCTGGGGCGCCCGGTGCGCCGTTCGCCTGGGCCGCGGGCATCGTGAGCAGCTGCAGCGGATCGTGCTGCCGGCGCCTCGGCACGGCAGGGGCCGTTGAGCCGTGCGCGTTCGGGCGTCGGTTCGGCGCGGTTGCCGAGCCAGCGCCTCCTCCGAATGCCTTGCTCGAGAGCCTGCACTTGATGCTCTGAAGCTCCATCTCTGTGTGCTCGAGCTCGGCGGGGGGCGCAACGGGGCGCCCGTCGGCGTAGACGTGGTTGAAGATCATGTCAGGCGTGAGCAGGCGTGGCTCAGCTGGGTAGATCTCGATGTGGGTGTAGGGCCAGGGCTTGACGGTGTTGAGCTGCTTGAGCTTCGACTGGAGGTCCAGGCGCATGTTTCGTTTGGCAACAGCTGACGGAGGCGTCAGTTTGAAGGGTTGGCGGCAGCAGATGACGATCGCGATGCCCCTCATGAGCAGCTTCTCGGAGGCGGTGGTGATCCCCATCTTGTGCATGCTGTTGGCTACCATCTGGGTCTTCATGACCTCAGAGTAGCCTGCGCTGGTGATCGCCGCCCAGTCATCGGCAGTAAACAAGAGCTGCAGGGTGGGGCACTTCTGCTGAGCTCTGCCTCCGCTGCCGCCAGCGCGCGTGGCACCCGAAACGGCATCGGCTCTTTTGTTCAACGCCGTGGCCTTGGAGACTTTCTGCTCGTTTGTCCAAGGCCCGTTTGAGATCTCCTGCGTCACGGCTGTGGCCACGGCGAGGTCGATCCCAGGGGCGACCGAGAAGGTCGCGTTCAGGGCGTTGCGTTGGGCCTGCAAAAGGATGTTGCGATCGAGGCCCGCGTGGGCCTGGGCGTTCGTGAACGCGATGCGTTCCCGCAGCGTCGAGATCAAACGCTCGGCATGGAAGGACAAGTCCGACATGCTGAGTGAACCACCTTGTGTCTGAATGCAAAGGCGCAAAAGAAAGCCGAGCTACTTGAGCTCAAATGGCCACGGAGGCGGAGGAGGATGGAGGTGGCCACAGGAAGTATTGGAGATGCCTTTCGCACCCAGATGAATGTGGGCTCCGTCCTGGTCGAGGCTGGCTCTTCCTCCTCATCCGCGTCTTCCTTATCCTCATCCTCCTCTCTTCTCCCCTCCTCCCCTCCGGGTTTTCCATTATCTGACCCTCCTCCTCTTCCTCCTCCTCTGCCCTCCTCCTGCCGCTCTCCTTCTCTCCCACCCTCCTCCTCACCATTCTCCCTCTCCCATGGGGCCCCCACCCCTGCCGCAAGTGCCCCCCTGACCGATTCCAGCGCGGCGATGAGGACAGCCTCGAAGAGCCTCCAAACACGAACGGGGGGCCCGAGACACCCCGCCGGCCCTGGCAGAGGTCGTTTAGCCAATCATGGCGCCCGAGGCCAGACTCGCTCTGGGCGCTTCGACCATCCGGATCGAACTTCTCCTGGGCAGTTCAACAAATTGGGCTCACCCCTGCTGGGGGGTCGGACGCACTGCTGGTGGGGAGTTGGGGTCCAAACCCTGTGACTGTTGCATGTCGGATGCAACTTGTTTTCGCGAAATTGCTCTAACCCCCCAGCAGCGATTGGTCCGATCGGTCGGACTGCTTAGGAGGAGTTCGTCTGACATGATCGAACTTCTCCTGGGCAGTTCGTCCCACGGACGGACACAAGCGTAGTGTGCCGATAAAGAACGCCAAAGACTGCAAGTCGCATCATACAGTGTGAACATGCCAGCTCGTTATCTCTCTTGATTTCGTGCTGATGGTGTCGATGATTATGCGATGATGGCGACGTTTTCACCGCGCAAAGTGTGGCTTTCTGCCACTGACTGGGTACATTTCACTTGGCTACCTGAAGTGCATTGCTATGGTTCAGCGACTAAGTTCGCCTGAGGAGAGGGTCTGAAACCGAACGACAAGCACACATCCGGCTATGTTCAGATGTGGCCTCTGCGTGACTGCAGCATGCCCACGTCAACTGTGTGTCACGCTCGGGGGCCAGACGAGAACAAAACATGCTGAGCTCGCAAGCTATACTCACTCCGAGGGCTCCGTGTGATATTGCTCCCTGGAGGACGCCAGCACCCTTGTCACGCCCACGGCCCTGTCCTGCAAGTTTGGGCCAACCTTCACAGCCATGGGCTTCGTGCGCCAGGACTTCTTGGTGGCGTCGTAGTAGCGCGTCTTTACCGCGCCCCTGCTGTGGACCCACTCGATGTGCTCGATGTCGATAAAAGGCTCTGGCTGGACCTCCTCGCCGACACAGTCGGGCTCTTCCTGCAGGAGCTGGAGTGCATCTGGTGTGAACTAGACCGCCAGCTTCGCGCGCTTGCTCGCGGACGTGGCGACCCAGACCGCGTGCGACGCCCGGCATTTTGACCGCGACCTGGGTGGCGCGAGTAATGCAGTCGACCGTCTCTTTGCAGGGCTTCTTGCAAAGTGGCTCCCCCTCACCGCCATCGATCATCGCGGGCTTTGCTGCTGCTCGGCACGGGCAGCCTCTGCCATCAGGGAGTCGGCCTTGCCGTTGCGCTCTCTTGTCAAGAAGTTCAGCATGCCGAATTTCTCGGAGACCAGCTTGCAGAATCGGCTGTTCTGCTTGTCCGTGGGGAAGTATCGACGGCCATCGATCTCGAAGACCTTGCAGAACCAGCCAGCTCGTGCAGTGCACTTCTCTTCGGTGAGGCCGCTGCACGCGAAGCCAGTCTTGATGAAGGCGGGCATCGCCGAAACTGTCGCACGCTGAGAAAGGCGAAGGGCGTTGCAAGACGATTGAGCCAACGCGGCTATACACGCACACAGACGTTGAGAGGGATTGGGGGTCGGATGATTGCGATGTGGGGGGCGGTTCTTAGTTGTTGGCATTTCTCGGGGGGTCGGCTCGTACTTCTTGACTTCGGTTTGCATGTTTGGCCAGCCTTCGTTATGTGGGTGGGGAGGGGTGGGGTCTCAGCATTGTTGCTTGAATTGATGTTGTTTTGTTGGTGGTCCTCTTCGCCGCGACTGCATTCACATCGAGATCACCTCAGCTGTCAAGACGATCTTGGGAATTCGCTTCGGAATAGCCGTCAGAGCGTGCTCCAGGATAGTTTTGCGGGTGCATCGGTTTAGATTTCAATGTGCTTGGGCAACCGTCTTGCATCATATCAGTCCCGCATGCATTGTGTCTGACTGGGTCCCTGCCAAGAGCCTCGCACAAGTTTTTTCTCAAGAGGTTTGTCGCCAGCATCGCTGGATGCGGTTCGAAACTCGCTCTCGCCGAAACTTCACCAAGACGGACGCGGAGCTAAAACACAGTTCGCCTTTGCTATGCTGAGCTTGCGCAAAAAAGATTGCCATGCTCGCATGGCGCGCTCTCTGCAGCTCCCTCCTCTTCTTCATCCTCCTCCGCCTCCTCCTCGTCCTTCGCCTCCTTCTCCTCATCCTCATCCACAAACCCTTTATCATCATGACCCCTTGTATTCTCTGCGTGGAAAATGCCACATCTACGCGCGCCCCGCATGCTCGAGCACTGGCAGCTGTATGCACACAACTGAGCAGTGGCTTCGGCTTTCGGGGACGGTACCAGGGGCGCAACTGTGAGCACGACCCCACACTTCACAATCTTAGAGTTCGTCATCGCTGGGATCTCAAGCGTGGACTCAGCAACGTGACCACCAGTTGTAACAGACGTGACCACTTTGACGAGCGTATGGGCCATGTTCGGAACGACATGGTCTGGAGCCTGACACATTGGAACGACACATTGGTTGGTATGGGGCTGTTGCTCCTGAGATAACTCACATTGAGGCCCGATGAACACGTTGATCTCCTTCACAGCTGGAGTCGGAACCACCACGGCCCCATTAGGGACATTGCTGCTTGCGTTGATGTTTGTACTACGAGAGATCAGAACAAGTTTTCCTTTGGGGTACTGCTGATTGCTTTCGATATGGTGGTTCTTTTTCTCACCCACGATGATGGTGACGTCGACGTTCGGCAAGTTAGACGCGACGGCGTCCACGAGCGCGAGCCGAACCTGGCTCCAGAGGGGGTGGGGCCAGAGGTGCGTGCGAGGGGGGCAGAACAAATCAACTGGCTCAGCGCAATGATACTCACCAACGTGCATTGTACCCTGCAAGATCAATAGAGAGCATCCCGAACAGCTTTGACCGTGTTCCACATCCTCCTATTCCTTCTCCTCTTCCTATTCCTCCCCCTCTTCCTCCTCTTCCTCCTCTGCCTCACCGTCATCGCGCTCTTCTTCCTCGCTCGTCCTCATCCCCTTCATCCTCCTCATCCTTTCCTCATCCTCCTCCCTCTGCTCCTCAATCTTCGTCGTCCTCCTCCTCATCCTTATCACGTTGCTCCCTCCAAGCCCCCTTCTCCTCTCACGCTGGCAGCTTGGAGCCTGCGACTTCAACGTTTCGAGCACGCAGTCCTTTTGCTCGACGGGGCTCGCGAGGCTCTTGATGGGGACTCGAATCAAGCTCTCCACAATCACAACTTGGGAGAAACAGGGGGGCAAGAGGACGACGAATGGTGGCTTATCCCCCCAGGCCAACGAATCGGGACGGGGGACAGGTATGAGGACTGGATGGAGGACGGAGGAAGAGAGTCCCCCTCCTCCTCCTCCTCCTCCTCCTCCTCCTCCTCCTCCTCCTCCTCCTCCTCTTCTTTTTCCTCCTCCTCCCCCTCCTCCTCCCCCTCCTCCTCCTCCTCCTCCTCCTTGTTCCTCCTCCTCCTGCTCCATCTTCTCCTCCTCCTCCTTCTCCTCCTCCGTATCCCCCTCCTTCACTTCCCTATAAGCCAGCCTGGTACTCGCCGGCCAGCTCGCTGCTGTCGATGACGATCCGGCCGTCGTCGTCATCGTCGGCCTTGCGCTTCTTGCCCTTCGCCTTGGGAGGCAAGTGGCTGCAAGGTCACCTTGCCATCCTGGATGCCGAAGACGGCGCTTTTGATGCTCGCGTCAGAAACCTTGCGCACGACGTCGCCAATCTAGAAGCGGAGATCGCGCAGCGCAGAGTCGGCGAGGACCATGCCCTCGAACGTCGCGTTGATCTGGACCAAACCGCGCGCAACCGCTGACGGCGCCGATCCACTGCTGGCCTCCAGCGTCTCCGACTTCGCCCAGGGCCCCTCGGACGTGGCTCCAGGGCAGAGAGCATCGACCTCCTCAAGGAACTTGTGTTTGATGTCTCCGAGGTTCTGGTACTTCTTGTTACCGCGCGACTGCTTGCTGTGGATCAGGAGAACGCACCTCACCTGCATGCGGCCCAGCACCTTCGCCTTTGCCGAAGGAGTCACGTTCGCCAAGTTACTGAGGAAGCTCTTTGCCGCAGCCGTGATGGCCAAGAAAGCGCTGACGTCAAATTTCTTGGACCCTTTGATGGCAGCCATGCCAGTGCCGTTGAGCAGCTTCGCGACGCCGTCGCGGCAGTGCGAATCGGAAGCGCGCGAGCATGCTTTGATGCAGGAGGTCATGTACTCGGGGCCCTGTATGCATTTGAGCCTCGCGAGCATGGCGAAGGTGCTGCCATGGGCATCCCTCCTGCAATCACCAACAGCGTGGAGCTCACGAAGGCAGCCGTCCTCACCGCCCGAATACGCCGAGACGAAAAGGCACATGTCCCCCACTTGACCACGGAGGTGCGGTCGCGTCTTCTCGATCTGGCGCTCGATGATCGGCCACCTGATCTCGCCGAACGTCTTGAGGTGTTGCGTGGCGCACCTGTGGATCTGCAGGAGAGTCCGCATCTTGCTGTGCTGCCGATTCGCGCCGTCTTTGGCGTTGCCGGCTTCCTGCAGGAATGACGCCAGTTCTGGAATTGCAGCGCCCACCTCGTGGCGAATCACAGTCAACGGACCTACTCGGAGGAGGAAGAGATCGACATCACCTTGTCGCGAGCGGTGTAGCCACGGTCGTCCAAGATCTCCTGCATGGTTCCCTTCGCTGACAGCGCCACGCACCTCGCGCCCGCAACGGTGTGCGAGCACGCCGCGGAGAGGTACTTCAAGTTGGAGGGTTCGAACACTGGCAGATACCCAGAACTCGAGGAAGGGAGCGCCTCGCCATGCCCGACGGCGGTACCATCTCAAAGCCGATCGCCCCAGCACATTTGTCGTACCTGAAGCCGCCCTGCAAGATCACCTGCAGCAAGTCGTGTACGTTTGTGACCTCCAGGCCCACTCCAAACCTGTTCTGCACATGCGTGCCCATCTGGCGTATGTTGATCCACACCTTCTCCGTCGCTAGCTTCTTCCCGGCCAGGGGCTTGATGATGCTTTCGGCAGCCGCCGTGATGATGATCTGCTTTGTGCCGTCGTCATCGCCCGAGGCCTCGTGCTGGGCGATCACCTCCATGGTCACGGGCTTCACCTCGTCGATGGCTGCATCAATGGCCGTGCTCATCGCCATGGCCTCGATGGCCTCGCCAATGGAGTGAGCGCTGGAAACGCAAAACCCCGAAGTTTGAGACAAAATGGCTATTTCATCCTGCTCCTCATCCCTCTCCTTGTCCCCCTCGAGCGCATACACGAGGAGGAGGAGGGATACGAAGGGGGGAGAGAGGATGATAAGAGGGAGGAGGGGGGGAGGATGAGGAGTTTGGCTTTTTTAAAATGTCACCGAGCCAGCCTACTGGGAACGGCGAGGGTGGAGAACATCCCCTCCCCTAACCTACTTAGCAACCCCCTTCTAACCTACTTTGCTAACCCAGCTGACCTACTTATCCTAAACCACCGAAGTGCTTAGCCAAGTTTTGGGCCAGCCTTCTTACTAAGTGCGGGGGGGGGGCGTGGCCTCACTTACGATCTCTTCGAGCTGGTCAGGGTCTGGTACCAAGTAGATCGGGGTCATCTATGTGACATGGGCCACTTCTGAGTGACATACATCTGACCTACATCTGACATGTTATCTGCATAGAACCCCCAAAAATGCACGTACGATCCACCCGCCGCTCTCAGTGCACAGGCTGGGTTGCCACGGCAGCTGTGCGGCGGGGGCCGTTCAGGGGTTGCCCGGTCGGGGACCAGCTCCCGATCTTTGGGCGTTGCGTAATGGGGGGATCGTAAATGGGGGGGCGGCGAGCGTGGTCCGAAAAGGTACCCAAATGGTACCTAAACGAGCCCCCTGGGGCTCTGGAGGGGCCCGACGAAAGTGGACCTTTTCTGACCCCCCCATTTGTGACCCCCCCATTAAGCCACGCCCAAGATCCGTTGCGGTCTGCGGTCTGCCCCCATGTGTTGCGGGGTGGATCGTGGCACTGCTATCCGTTTCGTTTCTGGGCCGTCCGAGAGGGGCCCGAAGGCGCAGGGGGGAGGGGCGCCGCGTGCCCCCCCCCATCCCACCGGCCCTCGTCACAACATACTGCTCGACGCGAAGATCCCGAGGATGTGCATCTCATAGTGTTGTTATGCTTCGGCGGAAGACATTGTCCATCTCAATATCTGGGCGTCAGCGAATCCATGTGGAAGACGGCGCCGAGAGAGACGCCGACGACTACGGCGACTTTAACTCGGTGGTTTCTCCTTCTCTCCTCCTCCTCCTCCTTGTCATCCTCTTTCTCTTTCTTTTCCGCTGAACACCTGTCAGGGTAATCCATCCGTGAAGACGAGAATGTCAAGGAAACTCGAAACATGCATGCCGAGGAAATTCGAACAGTGCTGAAACATTGGGAAAACTAGAAGAGCGAAGCTCGAATCAGGAGCCTCGAACCTCGATCCTCTGGCCTCGGCCAATCGAGTTGCCCGGTCCGCGGCGAGAGCCGCCTTACTCTTTCCACATCCGTCCTCCTCCTGCTATTCCTCCCTCTTCCTCCACCTTCTCCTAGTCCTGCTCCTTTCTCTTCGCCATCCCTCCCCAGTTACTAGTTCCCCTTCACCACCTCCTACTCCAGCTCCGCCTCCTCCACCTCCTCTCGCAATCTGAGCCCTGCCGGATGCTCGAGCCATCGTTCCGCCTGGGAGTTCCTTACGGCTTGCTTTGGGCGCCGACGAGACTGCCCACCGAAGCAGACAAATGGGTTAAGACATTCTCGCAATCTGGGACCATTGGGGTACTGGCACTAGCGCTTGGCCTGAGACATCCTTAGCACATGCTCAAACCGCGAACGAAGCTGGCTACGAATTTGGTAAACCGCGTGAGATTGCCTCTCAATCTGGGACCCTCGGGGCGCTGAAACCAGCGCCTCACATCCTGTTGCCTGTTCCCTGTTTTCTCAGCGGTCAAGCTCATGTATCCTTCGCCCACAGATGGACAAGATCCGCCAAGGCTTGCCGCCGATCTGGACCGCCCGCACTTGGCATCGGGCCGATGAGACAAGCGATCGTTTACACGGCCAAAGAACGCTTGCGGTCAGCACTTGGTATCGGGGCGGCAGCCGAGGCAGGGTTGCGCAACAGCAGCGGGAAAACCGATCGGGGCACGACCGCCCGCACTTGGCATCGGGCCGAACAACTAAAGCGGCTACTCCTCGTTCTCTGGCAACACCATCCCGTACGTTTCGGCGAGATCAACTGTTCTCTCCACTGCCAGTTTCTCGTTATGTTGGAAGCGTTTGAGAGTTTCCTGCGCCGCCTTCGGTGGACCTCTTTCCAGCAGCCAGCGAGGCGGCGGCCGCGCCGGCAACATGTCCGCCATTCTAGTGGCGCGGGAGAACATGACATAAAAGGTTCAGCCACCATGCGTCGTCATCGCTGCCGCGCTGTCCCTGGGGCTTCTGGCGCGCGCAGTCGATGGTCGCAGAGCCGCGCGTCGTTTGCCCCTGCGAGGCCGTCGTCGTCAGGTAGTGGGCGTGCGACAGCATGAAGCCGTAGCGCTTCACACTGTGCCCCGTGGACGACGCCTCCCAGGTGAAGGTGGTTTCCATCAGAGGCATGCAGAACATACCGCGGACGAGTTTCTCGTCGTTGTCCTCGTAGTCTGGGAGGTCGCCCCGTGTGGGGGCTTGCTTGAAGTCGTCGACCCCCAGCCACATGCCAGCTGGAGCACGATTCGGCCTGAAGATCTCGCCCGGGCGGGTGCTGTCGTAGTCCCTCTGGTCGCCGGGGTGGAAAACGAAATCGACAATCGTGGCCCGCCTGAGAAATCCCCACAATCGATGCGCGAATCCTGGGGTGTACTAGCCCGTGCCGCCCCCCCTTTAGGTGTGCTGAAACCAGCGCCTCGCCTGAGACATCCTCAGAAACGGTTCCGAAAGCAAGTTATGTTGTGCACCGAAACAGGCAAACCGCCTGAAACATCCCCTAATCTCTGCACGCGAATCTTCGGGTACCTGACTCCTGGCGCCCCCCTTTGGGAGTGCTGAAGGCAGCGCCTCGCCTGAGACATCCTCAGAAACGGCTCCGAAAGCAAGTTATGTTGTGCACCGAAACAGGCAAACCGCTTCAGATATTCCCACAATCTGGGCGCGAATCTTCGGGTGTCCTGACTCCTGGCGCCCCCCCTTGGGAGTGCTGAAACCAGCGCCTCGCCTGAGACGTCCTCAGGAACGGTTCCAATAACAAGTTATGTTGGGCACCGAAGCAGGCAAACCGCTTCAGACATTCCCACAATTTGGGCGCGAATCTTCGGGTGTCCTGACCCCTGGCGCCCCCCCTTGGGAGTGTGAAGCCAGCGCTTCGCTTGAGACATCCTCAGGAACTATTCCGAAAACAATAAATGTTGGGCACCGAAACAGGCAAACCGCCTAAGACATCCCTTACTCTCTGGGCGCGAATCCTGGGGTGTCCTGACCCCTGGCGCCCCACTCGGGAATGCTGAAACCAACGCCTCGCCCGAGGCATATTCACAACACGTGTGTGACTAAGCGCGGAAGTGGCGCGGTTGATTCTGAGTGAGGAAGAGCGAATCAGAGCATGAGTGGGTCCTGATGTGCGTGAGTCCGGGTGTGAGTGAGTCTGGATGCGGAGCATCTTCACAACGTGCGGTTGAGTCTTAGTGCGGAAGTGGTGCGGTTGAGTCTGAGTGAGGAAGAGCGAGGCAGATCATTCATGAGTTTTAGTGTGAGTGAGTCTGCATATGAGTGATCCCGAGCATGCGAAAACTGAGCATCAGGAGCCCGACAGCGAACGCATCTGAGCACGAGCGAGTCTGAATATGAGCGAAGCTACATGTGAGTGGGTCAGAGAATGATGACCTGAGGGTGGAAGGTGTGTTCTCGTTCTCCGCACGGTCAGAATGAAAACAATCACCCCATGTTTAAGATATGGGGAACGGGGAAATAAGAGGTGGAGGCCTTCTCGTCTTCGTCTCCGCTCCTCGCGGGGTCCGTTGCGCTGACTGGTCGGTTGGAAGGTTGGGCCCCTGTCCTCTTCTCCTCCCCTCTTGTAGCGTGGTGTGGCCGTAACCTGCATGGTCGTTGCTTCCGTTATGTCCTGAGGGGCCCCCCCCGGCCGCGACGACCGGTCAAGGGGGGGCCGGTTGAGGTGCGCAATGTCAGCCGGGAAGCGGGGCAGAGAAAGGTCGCAGGGCAAAGGAGCGAAACCCGCCGCGGGAAGAAGCATAGGCGTGGCCGTCGTCCGCGGGGATTGTTCGCGCAGCGGGTTGTGACTGGATAAGAAACGAGGGGGTCCTCGCCGTCCTCTTCCTCCCCCTTCCCTCGCGTCCGGATACATTGGTGCTCGAGCTGCTTCTGGCTCGCCGCACGTGCAAGGCGCGCCTTGGTTTGCTCGTCTGGTTTTTCCAGCCGGCACGTTCGCCTGTGAGGGGTTGGCGTCGCTCGCTGCGGCGGCCCCTGGTAGGGCGTTCGGTGGCTTGGCAAAAGGTCGCGCTGCCAAGTGGATCCAAACGGTCTGCGCGGTCGACCAGATTCCGCATGACATTCACCCTCTGCCTTTCTACGCGGCTACCACCAGGGCGCTCGTGGAAAAACTTGGCACCGCGGTCCTGTCCGACTATTCGGATGGCCGGGCCGCAGCGATGGAGAGCGCCACGCCAGGCACGAAGCCTTACGAGGACGAGGAACAAGGCCACTGGAAAGGAGTCACCTTGACGCACGCCCACCGCGCCTTGGCACTGAGCCTTCAGACAAAAGCGACGAAGGCGACGGCGGCTGCGGGCCAGCTGCCAGTCCAGGGGCCCCAAGGCCCGCCCCAAGGCCGGCCGACCACGCGGCGATTGCCCAGGCCGTCCACCAGTTGGCCGCGGCCGGGCGCAAAGAAGCCAATGGAACTGACGTGGGTGATTCTGGAACCCGCGGTCAAGTTGGAGGGCCCTGAGCAATTGAGCAAGAAGTTGGGGGAGCAGAAAGCACGGGGAGTGGCAATGCGAGAGGACGAGGAGGACTTGGATAATCATAGCTCACTTTACAAGTGCAGGGTGGGCCAGTCGATTCTACAAAAAATTGGTTGGCCATCAGGGAGGGCGCTGGGCAGAAGAGATAGAGACGATGACGGGTAAGCGTTGCGGGCTACAGA